TTACTTTACTGCATCATTGCCTGCATTACTTCTTACTTTCCTGTCCTCGTCTTATTTTAGCTGACTTTTACTTTGTGTAATGTTTCGTCCTTAAATCTTTTTGTTTTCCTGAAAGGCACTGCATTTCTCATTTTGTGTAATTTTGTTTTCTGGCAAAAGAACCTTTGGGATTTTTGCAGATTTGTTATCACATTTGTTATCACTGTTCACATTTACAGATGCATTTACCACTAAAATACCTAAAACAATGAAGGATAAAGGACAAGGCAGGTTGCATTTTACTGGATTGGGAACATTCAATCAAATGCAGCAACATATGACAAACTGTAATCTATGAAATATGTTTTAGAAACCAGGGGAAATGATTGAACTTAATTTTTCTTTAAGTAAAAATGGACAAAGTTAGCAATAATATTCTAATGAAGCCACTACTCTAAACCAGTGCTTTGTGCCTGCTGTTAGTAGTCGTTCTTGTTTTTGGTTCCATAAAAGCTTCAGATTTTTCAGAATTTAACTATATTATGGAAAGACAATACACGGCCATTAGAATTTGTTTGTAATTGTGTTTACAGTGATTTTAGAAAGTGGAATTGATATCTGTCACTGAAATGCTCATTTGGAGTCAAAGTGAATTTCTCTTCTTGCATTTTTACCTCCATAGCAGATTTTTTTTTGTGTTTTACTGCAGAAAAAAACAAAAAAACGATATTTCTTCACACAGTTACGCACCTTTTGTACTGATGATTCATTCAGGAGAGTTTAAAATCCAACCGAATGTTGGAAAAGCTCCAACTGGCGGTCACCTACCATCGTTCCTAAGAAAATGCAAAACAACTGCATCAGCAGGCTGCTCAGCATATGACAGGATAAAAAACAAATGCTGCAGTTCAATATTTAAATTTCCCAGAACTAAAAGAAAACATGTATTTCAGGGTTTATGGGACAAATTAACCTACACAGAAGAACGGCTGTTTCCCAGAAACATTACAAATCCTAATTATTAAACGAAATATCCTTAGATTGACACTTAAACATACATCTGCTTCTAATAACGCCCTCAGCAGGCAGCACACTGTCTGAGTGTCACTCCCTCGTCCTCTCACACTCACCTACATGCTAAACTTCACCTCAGTGAAAACACGCTCCCTGTAATTAATGGACATGAACTGGCATTACAGTGATTTATTGGACTGTTGGCCTTTTATTAAATCCTGATTAATGGCCTCTGAGTTCTTGGAAGCAGACTGAGTTAAAACGGGAAAATATCAAGACGTTAAACTTGCCCAAAAATATCAACCGCAGGCTGCGTCGATACAAAAGACAACAGTTGTGATCGGTCTTCAAAAAGCTCAAATCTGTCATCGAAGCCCAAACACGAGTTGTGCTCTCGCGTTACAACGTGCGTCACCAACATGTACTTTTGCCACTGATGCTATTTCAGTCATGTTTGGCAGCGTTACGCGTGTGTTGTGCTGCCAAAGGTTTCTGTCTCTTTTTTTTTCTATCATTGTCTATCGAGCAGATAATCCGAAGACCCCAAAAACTAGAATCACTTTTGAAAACACACGGACTGGAAACAGTAAAAGTCTGCTGGGATCTTTGGATTAAACTGTTTCCGAGAACAGAGTCTCCCAGCTCGCTGCCAAAAGCCACTCAGCTGCTCATTTGCTGATCTCTTACTCTGTTTTTATGTCACTCAATCACTCTTTCCGCTCACTCCTGCTTCCACTCCACTCTCTCCATCATCCCCCTCTGTCTGCATTCTCACACATTTGTCTTCTCTTTCCAGCCAGATCCTTTTCCTCCCTGTGATTGTGTTCGAGGCGGATAGCTCAGACCCAGTAGGTGCACAAACTGTACTGTATGTTAAACTGTCTTTAAATTTAGCAACGAGTGAACTGATTGCACCGGTGACTCTTTGTGTATGCAAGACTTTCAGCGAGTTTCTTCTGCCAACTGTCTGGAATTCCAGTGGTATTAACTTTTATAGGCCAGCTGCCGGCCTGTCGGTTAACTATTGCTCCTGTTGCTATTGTTGCTGCATTGAAAGATGGACTCAGCTCTGCAGGAACACTGTCTCTGCTCACTGCATCCTCGCTGAGATGCAAAAGTCGAACTGAAACACCCACTTCTACAAAAACCCCACTGATGGTCAAAGCTACTTCCATTTTTTTGTGGTTTTCTTTGGAGGAATATAAATACTATTGAAACTAAACTGCTTCGTTCATGATTCTTTGTGCGCTCAGGTTCTGTAGCTACAGTGCTAGAAATGCACAATCGTGTGTCTTCTACCTCGTTCTCTATACAGGCTCATTTTAAATACCACTATTATTCATTTTTCCTGCAACATTTAAAGACGTTAAACTGCAGCTCATCAGTGAGGACGACACTGATGGAAACTCACTCTTGTTTGCAAAAAGCACAATGAGAGTTGTTGTTAAAGCATCCGGCTGTAATGAATTGCGCTGCTTTAGCGCGACGCGGTGAGCCATTAGCGGCTCTTATAAGTGTCTGATAATCACATTTTTATCTTTATTTAGCCGAGGAAGGTGTGCTGAACAAGCAGGCTCTCATTAATTACAGGCAGCTACACCTGAGACACAGTGTTCTGCTGTTTACTCCAGCAGGGCCACAGACGGGATTTTATTTTTTTAGAAATGCAGAGGTCGTGTGTTGAAAATTCCCTATTTTCTTATTTTTATTATTCTCAACTGTGTAGTTTTGTGCTCTGTAAATGTCATCTTCCTGTGTTATGTGTAATTTGAGTGAATATTACGGATTGTTAACTGTTTCTCAGGCTTTTAAGAGTCGCAAATGTCCAAAAGCTGAGGGCATGTTCCTCGCTGGTATTCATGGCCTTGAGCTAAACTTGAGCCCGACTTCAGGAGAACAGATGTTTCAGCTTCTTTTACAGCTTTTGATAGAAAAATCCAACTTTTCTGTCAGAAGTTTGTTGGCTTCATAGGATGACAGTTTAAGATATTAATAAGAGATTTCAGTGGCTTTTGTTAACAGAAAGTTGTTGATTACAGCATTACATGTTTGATTAAATTCTCTCTATTCTTGTTTCTGACACGAGGGAATAAGTTCTAGTTGTTCTGACAGTGGAATGGATGTCATGAAGCAACCAAGTAGGACTATATTGGGCAGACAGACTGTGAGGTCGTAAACAGGAAATCACACGTCAATAATGAGTCAAACG